TTATTAATAAACATCGTTTCCTCTGCAATTTTCTTCTTTCTTTTTTACTTTAATATTATCTTTTTTCTTGTGGTTTTTGTTATTTCAATTTGTCATTAATCTCAATTATTGCGTTCAAGACAATTTTTCCCAACGATGTGTATCAATCTTCTACCCCTGTGATGAAAATTGGTCATTCCACTAATGCAGAGTCAGAGGAAGATTTCTGATACAGCATCAAATGAAAGAAAGAAGGCAAGACGGTGAAATTAATTACACAATCATTGATAGAATAACCAAATTGACTGAGTCAAAAAAATAAATGCAATAACAAAACTACACCTTTAGGTTTTTCTTTTTCTTGCCTTCATCAAGGTCTTCACTTTCATCACTCTCTATCTATGATACTTTATACAGTGAACTACCAAAAATTTGAAGTTCATTGTTCCTACCAGAAAGATTAACAGGAGCAGACCAATTAGCATTCTTTATGTGAACCGGTGCATCATTCCCTCTTTTACTTATGAAATCCTCATCGCTATCATTTTTCGAGTACTCTGCAGATGATTCTTCGTTCTCTTCTTCAAAAAAGGTTCTACTTCTCTTTTGCTGAGTGTGTAGTGAGAGTGATTTAGCCTCTCTGGCAGATTTCAAGTTATGCCCACTCTTACCCAGGTACTGAAATCTACCTTTCTTATAGCACACATCATTTTCATCAAGACTACTCAGCTCATCATCTTCATTCGAATCTTTCTCATTCCATGCTTCATCGTCATCCTACAACGGAAGGAAAAAATATTCCATGTAAGTTTGAACTGTACTCGATTAAAATATGAGAAATCTCAAATCTCTTTCCCTAACCTATGATGCTCAGACTCGGGTACGAGTACGTATCTAAGTGTCGAATCTTTTATTTTTTAAAATGTACAATACGAGGACATGGCGTTGGTTTTATTGAATGTGATTCTAAAAATATTGTGTGCTTATTAAAGAAATCACTTTATAGTCTGAAACAATCCCCAAAGCAATGGTATAAAAGGTTTGACACCTTTGTTTTGAAACATGGTTTCCAAAAAGCAATTATGATGTTTGCCTCTATTATAAAGGTAAAGGAGGTCAAGTTCTTTGTACTTGTAGCATGTTTGGCTAAGTTTAAAATCAGATTAAAATTGAAAATATAGTCATTATTGGGTCTCAGTCGTCTAATAAAAGTCAATAATAACGGCTAGTTTTTTAATTTTAATTCGATTTTAATCTCTACTGAACATGCCCTACAGTACTTTATGTTGATGATGTGTTAGTTGCAAGCTGTAATAAATCTGAAATTGATAATATCAAACATAAATTGAAATCTGAATTTTATATGAAGGATCTTGGTTCGGCCAAGAAGATCCTAGGTATGCAGATTTTAAGAAATAAAGATAAAGACATGTTAGTTATGCATCAACATGATTATATTCTTAAACTTTTGAAAAATTTTAATATGTTTGAATGTAAACTTGTTACTTTGCCTCTTTCAAATTATTTTGAACTTTCATCTGAGTTTTGTCCAAAAATTGATTAAGAATGTGCTAGAATGTCCAAAATTCCATCTGCAAATGTAAATAGATCTGTCATGTATCTGATGGTTTGTACAAGACCTGACTTAGCTCATAGTATTAGTATACTTAGGAGGTTAATGAGTAATCCTGGAAAAGAACTGATGCATGGGAAGATTATAGGAAA